GTATGAGATATTTCTCATAGTATTTATTAATTGAGATAGTCTCATTTTAATTAGTAATTATTTGACCTACCTTACGGCGGCTCTTAATTGTGGTGATTAAAATTCTTTAGGCAATTAAACATGTATTTTTGTATTTAACATGTGCATTCATGCATCATATTTATATGCCTTAAATTTAGTAGTGATATTTATACAAAATGTTGATTGAATTAAATTCCTTATTTTCAGCAAAAATGTCAAACCTTACTTTCACATTTCTCGCTTCTCAAATTTTGAATGGTGAAAACTTTATCAAATGGAAAAGCAACACGAACATACTCTTGATCTGTGAAAATTTTCATTTTGTCCTTAAGGAGGATTGTCTTCCAGTGCCTCCGGCCAATGCCACTAGGGCTGTGACTAAGAGATATGATCAATGGGTCAACGCCAGCAACAAGGCCCACTGCTACCTGTTAGTAGCAATGAATGAAGTGCTAAGGACTCAGCAAGAAGGCCTTGCCACTGCTGGAGAGATCATAGACTCTCTTCAGAAGATGTTTGGACGTCCATCAGATTCAGCCCGACATGCTACTGTCAAAGTCGTTATGAACGGCCATATGAAGAATGGTTCTTCTGTACATGAGCATGTACTTAAGATGATTAATCATCTTAATGATGTTGAAATTAATGGGTCTCAAATTGATGAGAAGACCCAAGTTGGCATGATACTGGAGACACTTTCTCCTAATTTTTTTCCATTCAGGACAAGTTATCTGATGAACCAAAAGAATGATAACTTGACTGAGCTCCTGAATGAGCTGCAACAATTTGAGTCCCTTATAAGAGATAAGGGAGGCAAGGCAAATGTTACCAAAAGCAATGCAGCTGAGGGAAGGCCTTCTTCATCAAAGAACAAGAAGAAGAAGAATCAAGGGAACAATAAGGGCAAGGGGAAGAAAAAGATCCAGAAGAACAAGCAGAATAAGGCTACTACAGAGCCTAAGGGAAAGTGTTTCCACTGCAACCAGGATGGCCACTAGAAGAGGAATTGTAAAAAGTACCTCAATGAGCTGAAAAAGAATAAGTAAGCTAAATCAGATTTACTGGTCATGGAAACATGTTTAGTTGAGATTGATTTATCTACTTGGATAGTTGATTCAGGGGCATCTAACCATGTTTGTACTTCTTGACAAATGATGGAAACGTCCAGGGATCTTGAAGAGGGATCTTTCCAAATGAGAGTGGACAATGTGGCAAGGATCTCAGCGAAGTTAGTAGGGACAGTGCGACTGTCTTTTGAAAATAATAAATATTTATTGTTGGACAATGTTTATTTTATTCTGAATTTCAAACGGAATTTGCTTTCGATTTAGATTGCACCAACAATTTGTTTCAGTTTCTTTTGATATTGACTTTGTTTCTTTATCTAAGAATGGAATTCATATTTGTTCTGGTTTTGTTGATGATGGTCTTTACTTTGTTAAGCCCATATTCAACGAAATGCTACAAACCAAAATGTTCAAAGTCGCTGAACCAACCCCTAAAAGAAGAAAGGTTTCTATCGAAAATGAAATATACTTGTGGCATCTAAGGCTAGGTCATATAAATATAGATAGGATTGAAAGACTAGCAAAGGATGGTCTTTTGAGAGAGCTAAAGGTTGGCACTCTACCGGTTTACGAATTCTGTCTAGAAGGAAAAATGACCAAGAGGCCATTTTCGGCAAAGGGTGAAAAAGCAAAGATGTCACTTGAAATCATACATACCGATGTATGTGGTCTTTCGAATGTCAAAGCAAATGGATGTTATGAATACTTCATCACATTTATTGATGATCATTTGAGATTCGGATATGCATACCTGATGTAAAAGAAATCTGAAACTTTTTAAAAGTTCAAAGAATTTTGTGCCGAAGCTAAAAAGCAACTCGACAAATCAATCAAAACTCTTTGATCTGATCGAGGAGGAGAGTACTTGGATTATCAATTCAAAGACAACCTGATTGAGAATGGAATAACATCTTAGCTCACTGCACCTGGCACACGACAACAAAATGGTGTAGCTGAAAGAAAAAATCGCATATTGCTTGACATGATGAGATCAATGCTAAGTTATTCTTCTTTACCCACTTCATTCTGGGGATATGCATTGCAAACAACAGTGTGCATTCTGAACTTAGTTCCATCTAAGTCAATCTGTAAAACACCCCTACAGTTGTGGAATGGTCGCAAACCTAGTTTGAGACACATTCGCATATGGGAGTGCGTAGCACATGTGCTGAAGGATAAGACTGGGAAGTTAAAACCTCTCTCGGAAGTCTACATATTTGTGGGCTATCCAAAAGGAACAAGAGGAGCTATGTTTTATAGTCCTCAGGATAACGAAGTGTTTGTATCGAAAAACGCTACGTCTCTTGAGCACAACTACATAGAACATTTTAAGCCTAGAAGCAAGATAGTTCTGGAAGAGTTGCTAGCTTATCAGATTAGCCCCACACTGACAACAGTTGTTGGATGACAAAGAAGGGAGACCACTAACCGTGATCAAACACCACCGCCACCACAACGTAGTGGGAGGGAAATAACCCGCTATTGTGAAAATGGAGAAGCAAATGTTGCAATCGCCGATGGGAGTGAAGAGGATCCATTGTCATACAGGATGGCAATGGATGATATTGATCGAGAAAAATGGCAAGAAGCCATGAAACTTGAAATGGAGTCTATGTACTCCAATTCTGTCTGGGAGCTTGTAGACGTTAAGCCTATTGGTTGCAAATAGATCTACAAGAGAAAGAGATGAATTGATGGAAAAGTTGAAATGTTCAAAGCAAGATTTGTTGCAAAGGGTTTTACCCAAAAAGAAGGAGTAGACTATGAGGATACTTTTTCCCATGTGGCAATGCTAAAGTCCATCCGCATTCTCTTATCCATTGTCACTCATTATGACTATGAGATATGGTAAATGGATGTCAAGACGACGTTTCTGAACGGCCATTTTGAAGAGACCATTCATATGGTCCAACGAGAAATTTTTTCACGATGATTCTGTGTTGTTGTTTTTTTTTAATTTAATTTAATTTAATTTTTTTAATGAGTATGAACTTCGGTTTGAATCATTTCTATCGATTCTTAATTTTTTTATGATTCTATTATTTTGTTATTATGTTTTTTTGTTTGTTAGAAACTTATGTTGTTTTTTCTTTTTTGTACTCTCTGTATCTCTGTATAGTTCTTTTATTTTCATGGTTCTTATGGTGATTTTATCGGAGCATGTTTCATAAATTTGAGTAGTTACACTATCGTAGACCTACTGTGATGGTTTTGTTTTGAATGTTGATAGTTTTGGCTTGATATGTTAGATGGGTGAAGCTAACTACTTTTGTTGTATTTCTTTTGGTTGGATGAAACATTCTGCACAACCTACAAGTTGGTATTAGATGGACATAAGACATAAAGATGCTTTTCTTGGTTCTTTTTTTCCTTTTTTCCTTCTTTTATTTTAATTTCTTCCTGTTGATTAGGTTCTTTTGCCATTCATATGGTTTCTGTGGTCCACTTCTCTGCTCATACTTAGAGTTGGGCGTTCTTTTTTCCTCAGGTTTGCTGCTCCTCTCTTTTCTCTTAGGCTTTTTTTTTTATTTCCGTTTTAGGGATTTTGTTTTATTTGTTATGGGTTTGTGTTCTATTGTAACTGTTGGGGATTTCAGATTCGGGTTTAAATTTGGTGCTCTGTTGGGTTTTGGGCTGATTAATTGTTGGGGATTTAGGTTGTGCTTAGACATGGACAAAGATGAGGATTGGCTGGATGTGAAGTTCAAGTGCCAGTGTAAAAAGACTTATGAGCCTGTCTAGTTCGTTGATTCAAATTTTTAATTTAAATTGAGATGTGACTTTATGTGAGTTTTTTACTATAGTAAAAAAATTAAATATGACTGTTTGTGAAAATTTTTTACTGTAACAAAATTTGAATCGGTAAAATGAATAGAGCCTATAACTCTTTTCTTGCTTATGGACAAGCTTGTGGAAGTTGAAGATGAAACAGACCATGTATCACCTTCTCTGAAGAAAGAAGTAAACAACTTAAACATCCACTTCAAGTGCGATTGTGGAAAGCATACCATTTCATTCATTACTATTCATAGCAGTTATTTCATTTGTTTGTGGCTGTAAAAGTGCATGGTTGCTTGACATTTTTTTTTTCCGTAAATGAACCATAATGAAGTGTGGTTTTCAACACAGCTTAATTGTCCCGCAACTCCATACTTGTTTGTGTCTATTTTACTAAAATCTTAGAGGACGTTTAGTTGGAGAATTCAAACCATGTGATTCGAACCATTTTTTATTTACATAAATTTTTTGTGAGATAAAATATTATAATGAACCACGAATTATGATTCGAATCAGGGAACGAATCCCTCTACCAAACATCCTCTTAATAATATATGTTAAAATAGAATACAGACTATTGATATACTCTTATACCGTTTGTTTTTCTAATAAAAATGTAAAGACTGTACGTTGTTAGTTTGCTAGAAATCGATGCCCTTTTTTCTTTTTTTGGGTTATTTCTCATGACTGGTGATTAAATAAGGGATGTCTTTAAAATTCCTCAACAAGACTAATAGTGAAGTTAAAAGATAATTTTGTCCTCTCTCTTGTCAAGAGTTCATATTGAAGTCCTGATCACCATGTTTAAACGTGTGATCTCATTATTGTACTTTTTATAGCTGTCCTTACGCATGCTAAATCAATAGTATCTGTCTGAATTTTCAAAACACAAATCACATACAACCTAATATTGGCCACAAAAACCATCATAGTGATTTTCAAGTTAAGCTGTCTCGAACTCATCCAAACAATGATCAGACACATTAGGCGAGAGCCAAAGCTGAAACTTAAATAACGTTTAGTTCAAGGATTCAAAATCATAATTCATGATTATAATTTTTGAAATTTAAATTTTTTATGAGAGAAAAATACTGTAGAGAATCATGAATCATGATTCAGAACTAGAGACGGATACATGAAACAAACATTGCTTTGAAGATTGGCTATCATACGTAGTTCACTTTTCCCTCCAATATAAGCTATGGTTTCTAAATTCTCGTAACCATTTATGCGAGATGGATAAAGCCGTGAGAAGGCAGCGGGGCACTGGCTTGACTTCTGGCAGCTCTTAATGCAAAAGGCAAAGAGACCAGGTGCTACCTCAAGTCATGAGCAGTAAACCATCCAGACGACTTTTGAAAGCATGCCAATAACGAGAAGTTGTTTACAAGAGAAAATCACACACCTCTCAATCTCATCGAGTCTTCTCTCATTTTTATGATTGACCTGAAGATCGGTGTCCCCTTTATATATGAGAAACTTGAGAAATCAGGGCAAAAGAAATTCCCGCTCCTCACTAGCGTGTTGCTCTCAAGTCACAATTATTGTGTTAACTGTTAAGAAAACTCATAAACTCTTTTCTATCAACATTTTCTCGTCTTTTCTTCTTTCCTCTTGCTTCTACCACTTCAGAACTTTGGACGACTTAAAAAAGCTCACTAGTTCTAGTCCTTGTATTGCTGGCGAACCACAAACATCAAGCACTGACTGACCCCTCTACTTCTAACTCCAATTTCATACTGAGAAATGAGTAACTTAACTCCAGGGGAATTGAATATTTTTATAGCAAAAGATTAACACTAATTTATAACAGAAGAATAAGATGGCAGAATTATTGTTCCGCATCCCATAAACTTTTCATTCTCCCTAGACAAGGTGCCTAATGAACTACCAGAATCGAAATGGTTGTTCACCAAACCTGATTTGGGAAGTAACAGCTTCATTGCTCTACACCAACATCACCCCACCTCACATTGTATCTTGCTGCAAGATAATGGGCCCCAACAGGACCTCTACTACCGTACGGATAGTACTCGGGAATTATCTTCTTCTCTTCAAGCTCTTTCAACAAAGGTGTGAACAGTGCCCAAGCAGCATCCAATTCATCACTTCGGATAAACAACCTTCTTTCCCCTTCAATAGCATCCAGCAATAGCCTCTCGTAAGCGTCCGGAATCTCTTTTGAGTATCTATAAAGAACCAAAGAATTTTGATTAAATGAAATGGATACATTCAAGGGATAGGGCAAAAATGAATCAATTATTCAGATGAAAGTAAATTGCTCATTGTTGACCTACTGATGAGCTGAGTTTGTCAAATGAACAACAGACAACCCAAAGCAATGGACTGTTATAACTCAAAAAGGCGAAAAAAAAGGTGCAACCATTGTTGAACACTTTATTTGATTATTGCCTCATTTGGTTAACAATAATGTCAAAAGGTGGGAACTGGAATTTTCAACAACAAGTTTGAATTTACCTCGCTGCATAGTGAAGATTTAGGTTACTGCGGCCCAATCTCATTCCCAGACCAGGGACCTTGTTATTGATCTTCAGATAAATAGCTTCGTCAGGTTGTACACGAATAACAAGCTCATTTGTAGCTCGATCAAGATCTATCCCGAAATTTCGGTTGTATAAGTTGCCAGGAACATGCCTAAACTGTACTCTTATCTCAGCCCTAGAAAAAGAGAATTATGTACAGCAGTTGAAAAATCAGTGGAAAATTCAAACTGAGATGAAATAAAAGAATAAGGGGGCGTTTGGTAGAGGGATTCGTTCCCTGATTCGAATCATGATTCGTGGTTCGCTACAGTATTTTCTCTCATAAAAAATACACGTAAATCGAAAATGGTTCGAATCACATGGTTTGAATCCTCCAACCAAACGAACCCAAGAGATCTATTCCTCGATAGACAGACTTTTTATTATGTAATGCTTTTCCGGCCTTCATTAGAAAAGGCACATCATCCCATCTTGCATTATCTATAAAGAGGGCAGCTGCCGCAAATGTTGGAGTTAAGCTGTCCTTGGGTACAGTCTTGTCATCTGTGTAGGCTGGGTAAGTGACACCACCTTTTGTGTGACTTTTATATTGCCCCACAGCCACATTTTCAAGTTGCAACGGCCTCATTGAACGTAGAACTTTTACCTGGCACCAAGCAACTTAATGGTTCAAAAATCAATGAGAACAGAATAATAAGATAGAATAAAAGAACAACAATGTGACAATTTTAAAATTATTCAGGATATATATGGAGAAACCTTCTCATTTCTGATATCTTCTGCATCCAAACTAACAGGGGTTTCCATTGCAAAGAGGGCTAGTATCTGCAGCAGGTGATTCTGCATTATGTCTCTTATTATACCATAATTGTCGAAGTACCTAGATACAACCAGGAAGATAATATCACTTGTAAGCTCTTAGAGAAGATTAAAATTTGAATTAATGCCTACTTGGGAAAGTGAAAGTACCCTCCACGACCTTCGGTGCCAAAATCTTCAGAGAATATCAATTGGACATTCCTTATGTACTGCCTTGACCATAGAGGTTCAAAAATAAGGTTAGAGAAACGGAGAACAGATAGGTTTTCCACTAGCTCCTTTCCCAAGTAGTGGTCTATTCTGAATATTTGTTCCTCTTCTAGGTATTGCTTAAGGGCTTTTGTCAAAGCAGCAGAGGATTCTGAATCTCGACCAAAGGGCTTCTCCACAATGACCCTGGTCCAGCCATTACCAGAGGAAGCTGACATGCTTGCACATCTTACAGCATCTATGAATATGTTTGGAGGAATCGACAAATAGAAGAGGCGATTAGAAACCCGACCGGCCTACAAGCAAATTATCGCTGTCAAACTAAATGGATGAAATCCAAAATGAGAGTTAAGAAAAATAATGAAAGAAGACTAACTATACCCTACATGAAGCATTGCAGTGTTTTTCCATACATCTCTTCAAGAAAAATCTTCCTTCTCATTTGTAAAAAACTCCCACCAATCACATATATCATTTTCCATTTAATTAACGATTTAGCCAAACAAAAGATTACCTCATGTTCCTTTAGTTTCTTGTCTAGATCTACAAAGTTTTGCTGTGAATCATACTGACCAGAATGGTAGAAACATCTTTTAAGAAACTGGTCCATCTTTTTGCCACAATTTTCCCTGATATTAGAAAATCAATGTGCCACGCCCAAATTAACCTAAATAGTTCATAAGCAACAACACAAAATGAGATGCATTATGAGGACCAAAGAGCTGAAAATTTCACCTTTTATCAATTCTGCAAGTGAGGGTCTTACTAACCATGTTTCTAAGTTCTGCGTCAGTAATCTTACTTCGCGCGTAGCCATACACAGTAAAATGCTGCCACAAAATACAAAATACAAAATCACAAATTATATAATGACTAAGACCTGGCATACATCATAAATGAACTCAACAGATTCCACATATCCAACTCAAATGAGGAATAAACTAGAACTAGTATCACCACTAGTGATCTATCACCATCAGCAAAGACAAAATTGTCACGTTTCGAAATGTAAGAAAACCATGTCCGACTCCATCGCGATTTTGATGCAATGCCAAATGCCACATCACCAACTAGTGGTGATAAATAGCTCCTTTCAAAACCAATGGTGATAAATAGCATTTTTTGAAAAAAAAAAAAAAAAAAAGGGCGGGGGGGAAGAGAGAGAAGATAAACCTTGGGGAGGCAATCCTCGTAATAAAGTGCAAAAAGTGCAGGAAATATCTTCCTTTTAGCAAGGTCCCCAGAGGCCCCAACAACTGTAATGCTGACCGTTGATTCATTTCCATTGTCATCATCAACGCCAGCTGCCTCTTTAGATTCCTCCGAGGATGTGACCGAAAGAAGCCCTTCTTTCAATTTGTTGAAAGGAGTGTCATTCCCAACTGCCGTCACCGTTGTAGCCACTGCACCTACACCCCAAATAGCCTATCCAGGTAAGACTACGAAAATCTCAATGGTACAAAACTGACCCATGTTTTTTCACTTGTTTACTTCCCAAGAAAAAAAAAATAGATAAAAAATAAAACCAACATTGATACCAACTTTGTATCAATTTTTCCAACAAACCGAAAAACACAATCATTTCCTCTTCTTCCAGGAAAAATACAAGTAAGACTTTGAAAATAGAAGAAAATCTCAGTGTTGTTAGGTTGGCTAAACGTTGTCTGAAATATTGTATCGATTTTTCTAGGAAAAAATAATAATAATAATAATCTTTTCCTCTTTTTTCCGGCAAAGATATAATTTTTTCGTTACAATCAATGAACAAAAAAGTCGTCTTTCAATTACAAAGAGCTTCATTAACACATGCACCAATCATTAATTTTCAATTTCTATTTTCCAATTGCGATAAAAAAAAAAGGACATAAGACAAACCATCCTGCTGCATTCGGACGACATTGCGATGCGAAACCGGTTGCGATTGCAGAGAAACCTTGGCCGGAAGAAAACGTTTCGTCGCCGGAGACGAAACGGCAATGCGTTGAAGCGAATTCAGCGATGACGACGACGACGACGAAGAAGAAGGCAAAGAAGAATAAATACGGCAAGACTGCGCGGAAGAGAGAGCCGCCATAACTTGTGGCTTGTTGGTTTCAGAGATTTGGGGGGTTTTTTTTTTAAGGGAAAAGTGAAGAGTCGATTATTACAAGTGGAGAAGAAGAGGTCAGTTTTTAAATGGCGAACTTCGGAAACATCGAAGGGGTGTTAGAAATACAACAAATACTGGTGAAAAGGCCCTTTAAGATCTCCGGGGCAATGAATTGATTACAAAATGATTTTATTTTTTATTTTTATTTTTTTTATATAAAAATAAAAATGAAAATATTTTTATTTTTATTTTAAAATTATTTTTGAAAATATTTTTGATAATTTTATTTAGAGATTGATTTTAATTTTAAGAAAAATTGAAACTATCTTTGGTGATTTAATTTTTTATTTCAATTTTTTTAAATTGTCAAAGTTAGAATTTAGTTGCAACATTTATCATCAAGCTAGAAAAATGCCAAACCACCTACATATTAACTAATGACTCAGTCACTAACCACCGTTTAACACCACCAATTTTTTTACTCCTCAGCAAGTTATGACCAGAAAAAAAAAATCTCTACTCAAACTTCTTCTCCTCTCTCCAAAGGAGAAGACCTAAGAGTAAGGGTTTGAGCTAGAAAATTCGGACCTAAGAGAAACCTCCTAGAAAACCATGATTTTTCTTGACAAATTCTAAGTTTAAACCCAAATTTAAGAGGCCAACTTGTACAGCAGTCAAGTTAAGGTGTTCTTCTTGTATTATAAGGGTTTTTTCATGCTTTTGATGAATTTTTTATGGGTTATGTGTTTATGGGCTGATTAGAGATGTCTTTGTAAAAATGCGACAACCTTAGAACGGAGAAGATGGAGGTCGTCTCAAATCGGAGAAAAGCGGGGTTGAAGGAGATCGGAAACTTCGGAGAAGAGAGAGGGTCGAGGAAACAGAAGAAGAATGGGAAGATGAAAATGAAGGACACGGCAGAAAATAGGAAACGACGGGGCGGAGGCCGGCGAAAGAGGTGGAGTGAGAGGCGATGAGAGATTGGGGAAGATTCTGAGAACTTTTAGAAGAATGGGAAGAGGAAGAGGACACGGTAGAAAATGGGAAGGAAAACGAAAACGGAGGAGAAAATGAAAACGACTTTTTTGCGTTTTCAGATTCTTCAGAAAACGACAAAAACGTTTTTGTTTTTTTTTTCAAACATTTTGTACCAAACGTGTTTTTCACCCGCGTTTTTAATTTTTAGTCTTGAAAAACGTAAAAAATGAAAACGAAAACAGGAATAAACAGGGCCGATGTTTTTTGTTTTTGTAAGCCAACGCAATACCTTTCTCTCTTCTTCCCCTCGGCATGAAAATACAAGACAAGTGCACTTTTGATTCCATTTTCATTGGGTTGATTTAGATTTATTTATTTATTATTATAATAGAAATATAATTTTGACTGGAATTATTTCATGATGACTGGCTGGTGGGGGAGATCGGAGACCTAACTTCTGCTTGGGCTAACTCATTGTATGGCCCATGTTCTTCATGTACTAGGCCCAGTACTTACCATTCTTAAATGTAGAGACAACGAGAGAGGAAGTGAAACGACAAAAATTATAAAACGACAAACTCAAAGAACGACGTGAAAATTTAAAAGTGCGTCAATCATCAACGCACATGAGTCGGAAAGCATCATGATGCGACAATAATTTCAAAAGGACTTATAGCAAACAGAGACCTTTGATCTAACTAATCTAATAAATTATTGTTTATGAATAACAAATAATTCTGGTTACAATGTAAACGGATTCCTCTGCTATAGCTGAGAAAATTCATGATCCCAATACTCGAGTAAGGCACAAATTAAGAATTAGAATCCATAATCTGTTGGAATATTTTTATATAGACTTTCATAATCATAATAATTTACTCTGTAATTAATTAAAACATCTTATGTACAATTGTGTCATGTATGTTAAATATCAGTCCATAATAAGATGAACACTTATTTTATTAACTCGTTTGAGGTATTTAGACTCACTCTCCCTAAATATTTAGTCAGCCTATTGGACCAATTTTTCTCTCTATCCATGTTTTTTGTTAGGGCCCATTTTTGCCCTAGATTGCAGTAAAAAGTCAAGAGGGCAAAATTTAGTGCCCCTACCGTGTATGTGGGTGTGGGTTGTTGGTGCCCGTGGGAGTGGAGAGAGGCAGATGAGAGAAGAGTTCAAAATCCCTCCAAGCTCCTTTGATTTTCTCAGCTTGCTGATCAGATTCCGACCAAAATGACCGACATTATGAGTGGTAAACCTAAAACCCTCAATTTTCTATATTCTTCAAAATCCAATTTGATAATGTATTTTTGGGTTTGATTGTTGTTTGATCTCATTTATGAGTATTGAGAACCCATTAATTTCTAACAAATAGTATCAAAGCCTAACTTCTTGGATTTGAGGCTATAGTTTAATTTTTGTTTTTGGTTTACTGCATGTTCATGCCTCTCCATAAGGTTTTGGTTTTTATGAGTTTTTGAGTAAAATTGATGTTGGAAAACCAAAGTGAATGAAATTTGGAGCAAAACCCATCTAAGAACGTCAAAAATGGACCACCGGAGCTCAGTTTCCGGCGGGTCGAGTCACAGATCTGACCGGGTCTGATTTGCAGAGGGAAGCTTGAAACGACATGTCATTTTTCATCCTTGTGGAAAAACGACATGTCGTTTGAAGAGGAATTGTGGCTGTCGTGTGAGTGAAACGACATGTCATTTATGGGGACAAAAAAAAATCAAAAATTTAAATCCGTATTTTAGCTCAAGAAACATTGTTTTGAGGTTATCCACTTCGAGTTTAGCTTATGGGTGATTATTCCCCTTTCTTTTTTCCTTTGCGGCGCAGGAGCTATTGGATTTTCTCTTGCTCTATCTGCTAATCATATAGTTTTGTCCTGAGTTTTTAATTCCTTCATTTGATTGCCTTTTCAATGCTTTGATTGAACATGGCATATTCATTTCATTGGGCTAATTACCTTAGTTTTTTATGTAATTAATTTGGTTTCCATTAATACTCCGTTTTTGTCATCATATTTTTCATTTTAACTTTTAACCCCCACTTTTTTTAAAACCATTTTTTTGGTTGTTTTCTTTCTTATTTAATTCACCTGGTAGTTATTAGGCAATTATATATTTTACTCCAGTCATTTAATTTGTATCAAATATATATTATAATCTATATGACGGATGTAATGTATTACTCATTTATGTGTTTTTGTGTAGTTGCGAGTAATGTCTTTTATTTTAGCAAAACCAATTACATAGGCAGCTACAAAAGTATTATCAATATCTGTCAAATATTGTTCAGAATATTGGATATCTTGGACACAATTACAGTATAAAAATATTATCATATTTATCCTTTATTAGTTTTCTTTCTTTGTTTTTTTATTATTTTTTTGATATATTGATTGATTTACTTATTTATTTATTTATATTTTTTCAGTTTTCTCAAATTTCTTTCTCTTCCTTCTCTAAAATTTATACAACCAAATTTTGTTATAGAGGACTTTTAATTTATTTATTCAGTTATGAAGGAGGAAGCAGCTATAGGACATGGAAATTCATACTTATTTCTTGAGTTGTATATGAATTTTGTTTATGCATTATTTTTATGTTATTCATTTATTTTTTTTACATAATTATGCTTAGCATTGTAAATTTAAAATTTTAATCATTGTAGACATGTGATCATTGTAGACATTTTTATATTACTTTATTTTGAGTAAACTAGAGTTGCAAATATGTTATATGATAGTTTTATTAATTAAATTTGTTATTTGCATATCATTATTTCGATTATATAAAATGTAAAGAACTTCTTATTAAAATATTATATAGATATATCTTAGTTTATATTAACCAATCTTATACTATAAAAGTTTTTGACATTTTATGTAATCGAATAGTATTTTCCGCTATAAAAATTATCAACTTTTTTTAAGATACAAAATTGCCTTCTACTGTAATGCATGCAAACGCGCATGTCCATTGCAAGTTTCTATCTAGTTCAAATCAACTTTTACTTTCAATATTTCCTTTAGAAAAATTCAAATTCAACTTTTCAGAATTCTCACCAAATGAAAAAGTGTAATTTGCTCAGTGCTGCCGTTATTTACAAACTTATAGTCTGTTTTAATTTTTCATGTAATTTTTATGAAATAGGAAAATAATTTCATTCTTTTATAAGAAAATGACTCAAATTACATATATCAATAGTAAAGTTTGTTGATAATCAAACAAAGTCCACATCCATCAAATAGTTTTTTGCATCTTCAAACGAAAAATAATTTCTTTTTTCAAGCAAAAAAAATAATTTTTTTATAAAGTATTGAAAAACAAATGTGTAACCATGTCACTACTTCTGACTTTATTTTTTTTTAAAAGTGAATATATTTCAAATTAAAGAGATACATACACCAATGCTAACTCAAATGATTTTACAATGTAAGTGAACTTAACCTCAACCATTAGCTAGTTCCACCAGTCCTAATGAAACCGGAGCAAGCGTGCACCAAGCTCCAACAATAGAAAGCTGAAAGGACACTTTATAAGAACACCAGAAGTTTTAAGCTTGAATTTGACATATGCTAGCAAACATAAACTATTATAGAGAATGTTACAATTAAAGATACTTAAAAACCGTAAAAACTATAAAAATCACAAATATATACATGAAAAACCACAAACCCTCATAAAATCCAAAGACTCTGATCGATCGAGACTAAGAGACTTGTAAGACCAAGGTCTCCCACAACACCGTCAAGAACAAACTCAAGCGGGCAGTACACATAACTAAAAATAGAAAGTGAGGAGACCACCTCTCTTATTACAATACTGAAACAAAAGCAATAAAACAAAACATAAATCCTAATAGACGGAAAAAACATTACCATTATTTGACACCACCATCTACAACACAAATAGAGATGAAAACCTAACACTACAACAAAGACAGCGAGTAGTAAAATAACCCACAGAATCGAAAGAGTCAAGTAGAAAAAAATATGTACGGAAGCGCATTCATCGCATATGAGACCCTACCAAGCCGTCATATAAAAAACAATATATCAAGTTGTATCTAGCAAAATACATTAATAAAATATGTTTTCCACCAAAATCATATCATAAAGATGAATTGAAAGAATAAGAACTATAAGATAACAAAAAAAAAAAAAAAAGAACTTTCCAATGTCAGGTATCCGATTCTCCACTAATAGCATATATCTATGAATCAAATTTAATTAAAATCACTTAATGAGAAAAGACATACATAGTTGACAAAAGTTAACATGCATTTGACAATTATATGATATGACTTTTCATATCCTTTAATAAAATGATAGAATTCTTGAATAAGTTAAGAATTTAAGTTGTGAGTGAATTTATGTAAGAAAAAAATATCATAATAAAAAATTAAATTTAAATTTTAAATAAGAAAATACTATAATAAAAAATTTAAATGTTAAAAAGGTGAGAAAAATTGACTTGGTAGGAGGTTGTTGGGCCGTTTACAAAGTGAACAGAATAACCATCCTAACGTCTAACCATGAAATAGAATAAGAAAAAAAAAAAAAAGAGTTACTAACGAGGCAAAGTTCCAAATCCGCAGGCGATGCAAACAAGAAAGTAGCTACCCAAACCCACACAACTTTCTCCTCCTCTTCTCCGCCCCCATTTCTCTCTCTTTCTCTCCCCTCGTATCCAACCAAATTCACACTTTTAACACTTCTCTTCCCCAAACCCAACCCCACTTCTGTCTGTCTGTCTGTCTCTGTCTCTCTGTCTCTCTCTCTCTCTCTCTGTATTCCTCTTTCCAATGGTGTCTCCGTTCCTCGCGAAGGCCACGGTGGGCTCCGCCATCTCATTCTCCTCTTCCGTCTCGGCCTCCCTCCCGTGGCGGTTCTCGCACCCCTCCTCTGCGGCATTTCCGCGGCGGCGGAGGATCTCGACCGTCGAAGCCAAGATCAGGGAGATCTTCATGCCGGCGCTCAGCTCCACCATGACAGAGGGAAAGATCGTGTCTTGGGTAAAGTCCGAGGGCGACGTCCTCTCCAAAGGCGGGAGCGTTTGGGTCGTCGAGTCCGACAAGGCCGACATGGACGTCGAGACCTTCTACGATGGCATCCTCGCCGCCATTGTCGTCCCCGAGGGCGAGACCGCCCCCGTCGGCGCCCCTATCGGCCTCCTTGCCGAGACCGAGGATGAAGTCGCCGAGGCCAAGGCCAAAGCTGCCGCCAATTCTTCCTCTTCCTCCGCCGCTTCCGCTTCGGGTTCTCCCTCTCCTCCGCCTCCGACTTCGACAGCAGCTCCAGCAATTTCTCAGCCTTCGCCGCTTCTGCCGACTGCCAAGCCAGCTTCGGACGGACCGAGGAAGGTTGTGGCGACGCCATATGCGAAGAAATTAGCCAAACAGCACAAAGTGGATATTGGATCGGTGGTCGGGACTGGGCCGTTTGGGCGGATTACTGCGGCCGATGTGGAGGCAAAGGCTGGAATTGCGCCTTCCAAGAGCACTATCAGTGCAGCTTCTGCACCGGCTTCCTCGACGGCGGCGGCTCCTCCGCCTCCCAAAGCTAGTTCGGGTGGTTCGGGTTCTTTGCCGCCTCCACTTCCAGGGTCCACCATTGTGCCTTTCACGACAATGCAAGCCGCGGTCTCGAAGAACATGGTGGAGAGCCTCTCCGTGCCCACTTTCCGTGTTTGTTATCCCGTCACCACCGATGCCCTCGACGCACTCTATGAGAAGGTATTGAAAATTCAGACCTTGATTCTTGAATTTTATGTTTTAGCTAACAAAGTAGTCAAATTTTCTTGTTTGCTTGATAATGCGTTAATTTACTTTGTCAAGTATGGCCGTTGTTAGGTTGTAGTAAGTGAAGTGGTGAATTGGCCATTGGAAACGAGGAATAGGGCTCATTTCACGTATATCTATTTATTCTACTTTTATTCTTTTGTAAGGCAAACTTTTATGTCAAAGCAACGGTTCTCTCTAACCTTCTCTTACTCGCCTTACTTGAAACCTGTCCATTTTTCGTACCTTCGTATCTATAATCTAAAAGCTTCTCATCTCTTTGCCTTCTGTACTTCTCGGCTCAAGCAAGAGCCACAGTGACTGGAACAACAGGAAAGCCACCTTAATCACTCAAGCAAGCAATTTGAATAGGGATTAGCGCACTCACGCCAAGTAGGCACCCCAAGCCCCTGTAACATTTGGCTTTTTGCGTCCTTCTGCCCTGGGATAGTTGGGCCGGGCCTGGTAACTGCCGCTTTGATCAAGCATTAAACTACTACTTATGGCTTCGGTCGAGAAAGGTATGGGCCTATGGGTTGGGTTCGTAGTAGCAGACGGACAATTAAAGTACGTGGGGTCTGCTTGGTGAAGCGAAGTAGACGGGTATCCCCTAGATATCGAACGAACTAGCCATGTTGAATTTGTTTTTTGTTGGTGTTTGGATTGTGGGGTTTTGAATTGAATTGCCTTGTGCTCTTCAGGTCAAACCGAAGGGTGTCACCATGACTGCCTTGTTGGCAAAGGCCACTGCTATGGCTCTTACTCAACATCCGGTTGTGAATGCTTCGTGCAAAGACAGTAAGAGCTTTACGTACAATAGTAACATAAACATTGCGGTTGCTGTTGCGATTAATGGCGGTCTTATAACGCCGGTTCTTCAGGATGCTGATAAGGTTTGAGATACGCTCACCTTGTCCACTTTGTTCATGACAGATTAAGTTCAATGCTTAGCGGGTAACTTGTGTTTGTTGGCACAGATGGATCTGTATCTTTTATCTCAAAAGTGGAAGGAGCTGGTGGAGAAAGCCCGTTCAAAGCAACTTCAGCCTCACGAGTACAATTCAGGTCTTCTTTATCAAATGTCTTCGCAGATATTTATTGTCTATTGCTTTTCATGATGCTCTTTTATGAATAGATCAAGTTGAATCATTGCAGGAACATTTACTCTGTCCAATTTGGGCATGTTTGGAGTGGATAGATTCGACGCTATACTTCCGCCAGGCCAGGTGAGTTGAAAACATCAATGCTAGGTTTTCCTTATTTCACAAATTGAGTAGAGTCTTCTGCTCCTTGTGACAATTAGTACTGCACTGAAAGTTTGGTTGATGTTCAGGGTGCTATTATGGCTGTTGGAGCTTCAAAGCCGGTAGTTGTGGCGGATGTAGATGGCTTCTTCAGTGTAAAGAGTAAAATGCTGGTACGTGCAGTTTCTACTTTTATGTTACACTCACAAGGAGTTTTATAAGATTGAAAACAATAAAGAATCCAACTGTATTTTTAAAGTCTTTTCCTGCACCATTCCCTGTGAAATACAACTTATACAATAAACTACAAGTACTATTTACGCTGCTCCCTTCCTGAAACCATATGATGAGCAGTGTCAATACCAATTTATTTTAGAAATTGAGTATAAGAAGCAATATATCTGCCACATCGATGCTCTCAACTCACTTAGGTTTTATAGTATGATGTCTTGGAGCTGGAAATATTCTACACGAGCTCTTAGCTAACTTGGGTTCAAAGTAGTCTCTCTGTACCTTGTAAATGGGGTTTTATCTTGTTTAACTTACTTTTTGATATGCTTGAGTGAAAAGTAGCTTTCTTTTAAAGTGCTATCGTTTTCTGATCCAAGCACCCTTGGCATTTGCTCGTCTCTATTATAGAGAGCAAGTGAGCAACTAAGAGCTTAGTGGAAGGTTATCTGCAAAAGAATCCCCTATTGGGGAGGAGGGGGCCAACACTGGCTTTGTTGTTCTGTCTAATCTCTGTCCATTGTTTCTGAAAGATGGATGCATCAATATCTGACGTGCTGTTTAGTTTTGAACTTTTGACAAACTATCCTCTCTTCCCTCCATGTTTATATTTCCGAACCTAAGATGTTGTCTTGTCTGTGCTGAAAATCACGTGACAACACTTAAATAATAGTTAAATACTCAGAAATTGGATGCTAACGGGTGACATGTGGGTATTTGTACAGGTGAATGTAACAGCCGATCACCGGATTGTTTACGGTGCTGACTTGGCTTCCTTCCTGCAGACCTTTGCAAAGATCATTCAGAACCCAGACAGCCTCACATTGTAGAAGGTGTCTCAGGTTTCTTTCTGGTTGAAAGCTTTCGACTCAAATCTCTTGTTTTCATTGATTAGAGGCATAGATGTCTTTCCGAAAGAAAAAAAAAGACCTTTCTGTAAAGCAGAACCAAGGAACCTGGTTTTGTTGTGGTTTCTAGCAATTTTATGCGAGTGTAGTCCATTTATTTTGTTTTGAACCATTCGAGGAATTGAGATGTTGCATCAGATACTGTTGAGCTGACTTTGAAAAGAGAAATAATAAGTCTAAGGAATTTTGAAAGTAGTCAGTGGGGATTTTGTTGGTCGGAAGTAAAAGATCCATCGTACTAGTTAATCATTTAAATTGCTCCATGAATAAAAGAAAAAACGGTTACAACTTCCTCAGCACTTGAATTAGATGCAGTACTTATCTATGTATGATGGTTAAACGGTTCATTTTATTTTTGGTGGGGACATTGGTCAAGGGGGTGCTAATCAATTATGTGACTCTTTTTTTAGTCTGAATTTGATCCTTTGGTGAAAAGGGAAATATCAATATTTAGCACATGTTTCCTCTAAACTTCTTGCGATTTGGCATTTTCATTCCTGAACTCTTTTTCCCTCACAATTTAGTCCTTAACGTTATGAAATACTAGCATATCACGCATTGAACTTCTAGCAGTTTGGTGCTTTCTTCCCTAAGAACTTATTTTCTTTTTTTGGCAATTTAGTTCTTTCTTGAAGTAATGGTAGAGTACTCTAAAATGTAATTTCATTTGGAGTTAGTTGGTACATTTTTTGTTTTGTTTTGGAAATTCAGGGATTATATTAATAAATTATAAAAGAAAAGTTCAGGAATGAAAATGTTGAATCGTGAAAAGTTCAGAGGTGAAAATACTAAAAACCTTATTAAAAAAAAAAAAAAAAGAACTAGAAAGCTACCGGAGAAGCTCATGACATTCACCATTTTGTACTGCATTTATGGCTGCTATAAGCTGTTAAAATTTAAGAGCTAGCAAGCACACATTTACTCTGTCCAATTTGGGCATGTTTGGAGTGTAATAAATAGCAGATTTATAAAATTAAATTAAATAAATTACAGATTTTAAAATTATTTAAAGTAAATAGTTGTTTACTATGTAAATGATTTATTTACGACTGGTAAAAAATGATTTAAGTAGCAAAAGTTCTTTATTTATGTGAAAAAAATATTTACTAGTCTTAAAAAGAAAATTTACTTAAAAAAAATCTATTTTCTAATAAAAAATAAAACATTTATATGATAAATTATTATTTATTTCAAATAGTTTTAATATATGCTATTTACATAAATTATTTTTTATAAATTTGTTATTTACTTCATTCTCTCGTTATAAATTACCATAAGATAAGGTATGACTCGTGGGAGTGTGTACGAATGACATACAACTTACTAACATTTTCTATTATGCATTGAAAACGGAATTTCTTACGATAGAAAATGCTAGTAAGTTGACATACACCATTTTACTTTCTGCTACTCAAATGTGTGATGTTGGCTTGGGTTCTTAGAACCGTTTAGTGATGTTAATTGGGCTGGGCCTCCCCGGTGGCAAGGCACGAAAAGTTTTGGGCCATGTACAGCACGGCACGAGATTATAATGGGTTGGGCTAAACACGACAAGAGGTGATAAGTCATGTCGAGCTCATAATTTTTAACACGTGGATTTAACACGACACGATATGACAACAAGCGCGAGCACGACACGATCCATCAAGTACGATGATCCGGCATGACAAATATAATTTTTTTTTCTTTCTATTAATAATTTTTCGTTATTGTTACATACCTGTAAACAAATATAAAAATTACTGTTACAAATAAATTTTCATTAGTATTAATTTGTTATCCCTTTATGTTAGTTGTCTCCTCTTATCAATATTAATTTAAATAAAATGAAAAATCTATTTATAAATTAGCACTTATCTATGATGGCATTAATTTTTTGTTTTTGCTTAGTAATAGCATATGAAATTATATTTTTATTTGAATTATATTTTATTTGTAAATTCACATCTCAATAGAAGAAGCAAGGAGTTATTTATCTATCTTTTATTTTTGATGGACACGCTTATCTCTAATAAACCTACAATTAAGCAATTATTGTGTTGTAAAACTATTATTGTGACAACTCCACGAGTCTCTAGCTTTGAGGTTCTAAATTTTATTCCGGGCTTATTAATTATATGCTTACTAATTATTTCATACCCAAGAAGAAGAAAAATAGAGATAGAGAGAGAAAGAAGAAGAAGAACATAGAGAGAGAGAGAAATAAAGAAAAAAAAATTATGTCCTCGAAATTGGATAGAAACTTTTGAAGTCATTAATAGAGGAAATATCTAGGCCATTAATAGAGGAAACATCTAGGCTTGCTATAGATTAATTATACAGATTTAACTACTTGGATTCGAGTTTTTAATAGAGAGAGAAATAAAGAAAAAAAAAAAACTATGTCCTAGTCGAAATTGGATAGAAACTTTTGAAGCCATTAATAGAGGAAACATCTAGGCAGTAATAGAGGAAACATCTAGGCTTGTTATAGATTAAGGCCCTGTTCATTTTACCGATTCGAGTTTTGCTACAGTAAATAGCTCTTATAAACAGTCACATCTAACTTTGTTGTTACAGTAAAAAGCTCTCATATAAAATCACATCTCAACTCGAATTAAAAACTCGAATCAGCGAACTAAACGGGCCTTTGTACGGATCTAGCTACTCAAGGTCTTATTCGCTTTGCGGATTCGAGTTTTCAATTTGAGCTGAGATGTGACATTTTTTTAGGAGCTTTTAACTGTAGCAGTAAAAGTTATATGTGACATTTTCTAAGAGCTTTTAACTGTAGCAGAAAAAGTTATATGTGACATTTTTTTAAGAGCTTTTAACTGTAGCAGAAAAAGTTATATGTGACATTTTTTAAGAGCTTTTAACTATAAAAATTTAAAACTGAAAATTCAAATCGGTCAAATAAACGATGCCTACAAGACCTAAATTTGATAAGAAAGCCAAGTAAATTGTATGGAGAAGTCAATACTAGCATACAAAAACAATCATTAGAATGCAATTTAAAACTATCAAATTCTCATCAAATTCATTAAATTATCATATCCTTTTTAATCCTATATAATTTAGATTTCATCTACATATTAAAAATTATGTTATATATTCAACGATATTTTTTGTTACACTAACGTCAAATTCTCAACTATATATATGAAAAAATAATACACAACGAATAACCAGAATTGCTCATGGCTGGTCGAACTAGTCGCCGTTGGCATTATTATTTAAAGCTATCAAACCCAATTTGGCCACAGATCTGCCACTGAAATTGCTCATCTACATGTCAATTATGTCCTCTCTACTTGTGGGGATCATTGGCTTTGGCCAGAGAATAATATATTATAAATTGGTCCCTCAAAATTTCTTTTGAGTGGGCTACACTAGAACGCCATTTTCTCTTTGAAATCAATTAAATTCTTTCCTTTTCGTTTGCCCCACAAAAAAGAATAAGACTCAGAAATTATATTGTACCCAGGAAATATCAAGTTATGAAAATGAATGTAGAAAATTCTGACGAAAATGAAGAAAATTATGCTAGATCTATAGCAGCTATCAAAATCGAACTAAAAAACGTGATGACATTGTTTATAATACACGTATTGTACGTGTCATTTAAAAATTGCTTCCCTTTGGCGTGTCAATATTGGAAACCACATTTGTTGGACATCTGGAATTCTATTTTCTGCATTTCCCACCTCAGGACATTAAAAGGAAAATGGAGAAATGAAATAAAATAAACAAAGTAAATTAGTTTTATTTATTTATTTTTTTTAAATAAAGCATCTAAATCAGTTGATCCGATCGCATTTGTACTTAATTCACTTTCTGATCATTTATGACGTCTGTTTACCGCGCTTTGAGCAAGTCTGCGGCGATCGGGGGGACTGTTTTGGAAAAACTAACTCCAATCAATAGAAACACCTAAAAAAACAAATAGATAATTACGATAAGGCAATTAGATTCATTATTTTCCTATCGATTCCACCTTGACGGACATATGGCCAAAGCCTAGCTAACGGTGAAGAGCAGATAATTACGATAAGGCAATTAGATTCATTCTCTATGGATTCCATCTTGATCAAGAGCTGATAACGACTAGCAGTTGCATTTTTGCGGTGTTAGTCCACTTCGACCGAGACTGAGATGAAATCGGAGCCTAGCTATCTGATCAGGGCTGTTGAAAAAATTCGGAATTGAGAGGATGAAAAGAATAGAGAAAGCAGAAAGAGAGTTTGAGGCGTATAGAAATACTTTCCTTTAAAGTTTTATTTGCCCTCACTTCTCAAAGTTTGCTAATGAGTTTTAAATGGCAAATTACCCCAAAGATACAACAAACCCTTGAACATAATATCCAGCAAAAAATATTGAGTTTCAGAACAATAAATCTGTATTTTCTGAAGTCCATCAAATAAAGACAGGGATGCATCCATCCTCTTTAAGTGTTACAACCTTTCACACAAAGATACTTTTTCAATTTAAAGGTCATCTTTTATATGCTGATGCACTTATATCAATAGTTATTTCTATTGTTAATAAGTGCTCAGATATGTGAGAAAACATATCACAAATAGATGCAATAGTTCGAGATCTTTTCAGATCACTAAAACACACGAAAACACATTTTCCGTCAACAATTTACGCTGCAGCGCCCAAGAGGCGCGCGGGCTTAGCAAAACAGACCCGAGAGGTCTGTTTTATGCAGGCTGCAGCACCCAAGCGTGCGCTGCAGCGCACGCTGCTATGCGCTGCAGCGCGCGGGCTTAGCAAAACAGACCCGAGAGGTCTGTTTTGTGCAGGCTGCAGCGCCCAAGCGCGCTGCAGCGCGTGTTTGCGTCAGTCCACTCTTCCCGAATGTGTTTTAATCCAATTTTGTGATATCAAGATTGAGAGATATATTACAATCTCTCTAACAATCCCCTACTAGATTGTAATATTTCTTCAGAATTAACAACGATAAACATATACATACATGAAGGTATCTTTCGATTTTAACCTTTACTTAGTGACTATACTTCAAAGTATTCACAAGACAAAAGTGTGCTTTGCATTAAACTTTGTCTCTTAAGCAAATACCGGAAATATATCACATATGTGTTATCCCAGATTTCAAAACTGTTCCAATCGTCTAGTACTATTCCGGCCTTGTGCTCTATCTTGGATTCATGAACATTTACAAGACTAAACCAAGGTCTTGTTAGGAATGACACCATTCCTTATGTTCACTTAGGTGAAGTTTGA